AGCAATGGAGCTACAGCTGAACAGAGCCATAAGCAAGCTGAGCGCGTGCATCGGGGGGACGGGACACAAACTGAACGTAATCAAAACTAACCGCATCACGAATGTTATCGGGGCTGGATCCTTCGCAGCCGTCAACAGCATCGCAGCTTCCAAAACAGTCGTGGGCACAGTCGTTCGTGAAGCACGAGTCCTCGGTCCCACGATATCGTTTGACGGCAGTCTTCGAGCCGAAGTTCGAGGGCGAATTAAGGCAGCTAGAGCTGGGTGGAGGTCGCTTGGCAAGTTGTGGTCCGAGCCGATTCCACTGCGTATGCGAAGGTTACTCTTCATTGCGTATGTGCAAGGAGCAGGCCTTTCAGGTATCACTGGATCTGTTCTGCCACGCACCTTCACAGACAAGCTCGACGTGGTTTTCATCAGGTTTCTGCGAGTACTCAGCCGAGGCACGACGGAAGAATTCGAGGGACAAAAGAGAAGCGAGACGCACGCGCAGGTCCTAGGCCAGCACATGATTTCTTTGGCAGCAGTAGAGTTGCGCATCCAGAGGATTCGGTGGTATCAGAAGATGGCCGGGGACCCCCAGCAGCACTCGCAGGTTCTCGCAGGGATCTGTGGAAGCACCCAGATGGACCTCAAAGTGGAGCGCCCCCGTCTTGGACCTCAAGGAGAGTTAAACGAGCACAGCACCCCGTGGGCCCGACAGTTCCAGGAGGACTCGGAAGTTCTCGCAAAGATCGATCCAGCGTCGCAGTTTGCGCAGGCATGGCATAGCAGAGAAGGTTTGCTAGACTTTTTCACGAAAGAGAACTATCGCAACGTGTTCTTCAATAAACGACCCCAGCACATCATACACTTGTTCGACAGGCGCTACGAGGTAGAGGAGAAGGGGGGAGGCCTTCGGCGGGAACGAGTATGTGGACGGGGAGGAGGAATTGATCGAGTATGTGTGCACGCGCGAAATGCCAGGGGGAGAAGTTTGTGGGAGCGTGTTTTCGATTATGAGGGCTTTGGCGGCCCACCTGAACCAAACCCACAAAATGCGGGACTTGTCTTCCATTGTCACAACGACCAACGCGTGCCCTTGGCGTCGCAAAGTGTTTGCATCGAGAGCCAGCTGTGCACGGCGCGCGTGGACAATGTCACGGGCGAGTCCGCTGCGATTTCCGACCAGAGCCGTTTCTTTCGAGTTTACGCCGATAGAGGCATCAGCTTATACGTGTAAGTTGTGTACCCACACTACTTCAGAACTCTCACAACACCTTGATCACGTCAAGCAGCACGCCGCGGGACCAGCCGAATATGTCAATGTGGATGATCGGCCTGCCGCCCCAGGGAGCAGCCGGGTCCGCGGCAGCCGCGGCAGCGCCAGCACGCGGAGGACGCCGCATCAAGCGCCCCCGTGGCAAGGGGGGTGGGCCTGGCTCAGACGACGATGTGGATGCTGTACTCTAGGAGCGAATCTTCACCGTGCAGAAGCTGACGCTCAACAACACTCAAGTGCTACGAATCTTGATGGGAGCCCTGTGGGATTGCCTGCTCTTGGCGCTGACGCACCAGGTGGTGACGGACGGGCCGAGGATGGGCCAGGAGTACCACCGCCTCGCCACGGAGGAAGGACGCAAAGATCTCGGTCCGCCGCACCTGCACATCTTCGGGCGCATTATTCCCACGCTCGTGAAGATGCAGGGCTTGCCAGAAGATACCAAGGCGATCCTCGAGCCGTTCGCAAAGCTGATGACAGTGATGGACAGAGAGGAGGTGAACGAGCTGGTGCGCTACTTCCGCATCAAGAAGACGTTCAACGAGGGCAACCAAAACGCAGATCAGGCCAAGCTTCACATCATGCTGAGCCCCATCACGATCAGCCCGTTCATGCGACCTCAGTAGCTGCAGCGCTACAAGGAGAAGACGGGGGACCAGGCGGACATGCCTCGAGCGACGCTCGCGGGGCTCCCACTCCACGTCATCAAGGGGCTGGTGGCCACCGGCGGCGTAGTGAAATTGGGGGTCCACCGCCAGGAGCTCTGGAGAGAGCCGTTCAGGCATCGGTGCAGGAGCAATCGGTGTAGCTGGACTTCGGCGAATGGCTAGTGCAGGCAGCGAGAGAGCAAAGTCAATCCTGGGAGATCTGAAGAGACAGCGCATTGACAGAGGGTTCTCTTCACACTACGCCATGCAGCTCTCATTCAGTACTCTACTGGTGGGACAGACAAGTTTCTCTGCATGTGTCGAGCGGTCGGTGCTGAGCAGATTTACACCGACAGCTGGACCTTCTACTGAGCTTGAGGCAGTCTCAACACATTGTGAGAATGATGTAACTTTAATGTCCAAAGCCCGACGGCAGCATGAGTCTGATGTGGGGTGGAGGGGGGGGGGGGGGGCGGGGATGGAGGGTGAGGAGTTCGGAGGGGAGACTTCGCAGCACGAAGGAGCACACATCGCAAACCCTCGACGCGGCCCGAAGAGGCTGTGGCACTGCTTTTGTTTCTTGCGGTGGCCCCAGTTCCCGAGGAGCCTCCCCCCGCACCTGTCTTCCCCGAGGTTGAGGTGATGGGCCCAAGTGCTCTAAGCCTTAGCGCTTTACGAGTTGACCGAATGCGGCGCGCCTTCGTGCTAACGCGGGCTTTGGGAGGTCCGAGATGGGCTATAAAATCCCGCAGGCTTGCCCGAGATGCGCATTGATCGCGCCAGCAGCATTTTTTCGTGGCTAGAACTCTCACCCAACAGAGGTGAGCCAGACAGCAGAGGACTACGACTGCCCAGGTCTTGCTTGCTTGCTCCTCCCCCTCCCCCTCCTCCTCCTCCTCCTCCTCCTCCTCCTCCTCCTACTCCTCCTCCTACTCCTCCTCCTCATCCTCATCCTCATCCCCCTCCTCCTGCTCCTGCTCCTCCTCCTCCCCCTCCTCCTCCTGCTCTTCCTCCTTCCCCTCCTCCTCCTCCTCCTCCTCCTCCTTCTCCTCCTCCTCCTCCTCGTCCTCTCCGTCCTCTCCGTCCGTCCGTCCGTCCGTCCGTCCGTCCGTCCGTCCGTCCTCCTCCCCCTCCTTTTCCTCTTCCTCCTCCTCCTCCTCGCCCTCCTCCTCCGCCTCCTCCTCCTCGTCCTCCTCCTCCTCCTCCTCCTCCTCCTCCTCCTCTTCCTCCTCTTCCTCCTCCTCCTAGTATTCCTCTTCCTTTTATCCTCTCTCTCCTCCTCCTCTTTCCCCTCCTCCTCCTCCTCCTCCTCCTCCTCCTCCTCCTCCTCCTCCTCCTCCCCTCCTCCTCCTCCTCCTCCTCCTCTCCTCCTCCTCCCCCTCCGCCTCCGCCTCCGCCTCCTCCTCCTCCTCCTCCTCCTCTCCTCCTCCTCCTCCTCCTCCTCCTCCTCCTCCTCCTCCTCCTCCTCCTCCTCCTCCTCCTCCTCCTCTCTCACTCCTCTCTCCTCCTCCTCTCTCTCCTCCTCTTTCTCCTCCTCCTCCTCTTCTCCTCCTCTTTCTCCTCCTCCTCTCTCCTCCTCCTCCTCCTCCTCCTCCTCCTCCTCCTCCTCCCTCTTCTCCTCCCCCTCCTCCTCCTCCTCCTCCTCCTCCTCCTCCTCCTCCTCCTTTTCCTCGTCGCACTTCGGTGGTGGCGACGCGCCGCCAGGGGAAGGTTCAAGAGTTTCTGGTTCGGGGTTGGAGGTTTCTGGGCGTCGTCGTCTGTTCTCGGAGGTTTTCCAGCCTCGTGATGCGCTCCAGCAGCTGCGCCTCGGCGAGAGCGTTCTGGGGGTGCCAGGATCGTCCCGAACGGCCGCCGGAGACCCGAGTTATGACCCGAAAAACAAATTCGACAGCGCGCACGGGGGGGGAGTGAGAGGGGGCGGGCCTTCTCAGAAGGCTCGGAAACTCACCAGCCTTTCCAGAAGTTGTGGAGCCCGCCCCGAAGACACAGAAGACCTCTCAGAAGGCCGGAGCGCTTCTGAGAAGCCCCGCCGCCTTCTGAGAAGGCCTTCTCCCTCTCACTTCCCCACCCTCTCGCCGCCGACTGGAGGAAGAGCAGGGCCATAATTTCTCGGATGCTGGCGCTGAGTCACGAATGCTCCACCTGTCGCACCCCCTGCCTACAGTTAAGTCGGGCCGGTCCTTCTACAGGAGGAATATTCAAAAATAGTCAAAACATAGGTTGGGGACGATGCTGTACATATTTCGTTTCATTGTTCGTTTTTTGTTGTTGTTGAGTATTTTAACTTTTCGTCCCAAATCCCCCTGTATGGGGGACACGCCCGACCTAACCCTAGAGTGGAGACTCATGCCAACAAACACCCTGCTTGCACCCAGGGTGCCGTGGGTTTCTTGGATTTCGATTCTTTCCCCTATGGACAGCTGACGTTCCCACACCAGAAACTAATGGACGTCATGGGGGTTCAGGGTTGGGTTTCTTCTGGCAGGTTTCTTGTGGACTGGCCTCCACTGTGCCTCCCCTCGCCGACTTCGACCAGTGTCCCTGAGGCCTCAGGCCCAGCCGCGCTG